TATCTATCTATCTATCTATCTGTCTCTTCTTTTTGTATCAAAATTTCTTCATTATCTATCTATCTATCTATCTATCTATCTGTTCACATCTATCTATCTATGTCTCTTCTTTATGTATGTAAATTTCATCATTATCTATCTATCTATGTCTTTTTTTATCTATGTATCTAAATTTGTTTATTATCTATCTATCTATCTATTTCAATCTGTTCACATCTATCTATCTATCTATCTATCTATCTATCTATCTATCTATCTATCTAAGTCTGTTCATATATATATATATATATATATATATATATATATATATATATATATATATTATAAATTAATTGATTTAAAATATGGTTATTTTGTTTTTTTCAAAAATAGAAGCTATCCTAATTTATTTTTGCTAAATTAAAAGCATTATCTATTTCATCTTCAAACGAATTCTTGAAGATGAAATAGAACTAATGCTTTTATCTTGCAAAAAATAAAATTATTTTTTCTTTTTGAAACATGGTCTGATTCTAAGCGAAAATAACCATATTTTAAATCAATTAATTTATATATTAATGCTCTGTAAATTTATTGAGCACTATTTTTGTAAAATAAAATATCTATAAGAACACCGGATTTTATATCTTATATTCTTTCTTTTATTTATATACATATATATATATATATATATATTCTTAAAAGAAAAATAGACCACTTTTAAGGTACCATTATAATAATTTATTTCACCAGAGTCCTTTTAAAGGACGCCGGATCACCAGATAGCACTTTCAAAAATGAAATGAAACGAAAAATGAAATTAAAATTGATGGGTAGTGTAATTACCCATACAGATTACCAAGTTCTTCATATATATATATATATATATATATATATATATATATATATATATATATATATATATATATATATATATATAGTTCACCCTTTCTTCGTTCTTTTGAAGAGGAGTATAGGTTTACCTCTTGTCTTTTGTATTTTTTCTTTCGGATTGGGTTTCCGGTTTCTTCTAAAGTAATTTTAATTCTCATTCACTTCCAATATCACCTTGCCTCTTAGTAGCATTATCACCTTTCTTGGATAAATGGAATAAAAATCTATTTATATCTCTATCTGTCTTCTTGTTTTTCTAAGCGTAGCTTAGATGTGGCACAAGGCTGATAGTATGGGACACCCAGAGGAGGATCTTGGATATATTCATATACATAAATAGTACGCGCTCAACCAGAAAATTATCCTTATGGATAATAAAATTCTGCTCGTTCCTCCCTTAGTTATTACGACCATTACGATCTACCATACCTCATAAAAAGGGAATATTCTATTATGATTGCGTTAATTCCTCATACACATAATGAGGGTTTGGAAAACAAACCTCACGGGGCATATTGATGGCAAGAGAGGCGGGGGAAGGCAGCGAGCCAAGTTCTTGACTTGTACAAAAATCACCACTCAGCACAAAGTTCCAAAGTAACTCTTGGGAGAGTGTCACTCTCAAAATAGTAATGATGAATGACGTCCACTATATATATATATATATATATATATATATATATATATAATATAAATGAAAGAGTTAGTGTTAGGAAATAAACCTTATGAAGATAAGTAGGATAGATAACAATTGACTTTTGATTTAAAGAGATTAAGATTATAGTGTTGAGGGAAGCATCCAAGGATAAATCTTTTTCCAAAAAGTTACTATTCTTGGAAAAAGTTACCTGAATGAAACTATTTTCTATTTATCTATTAATCTATCTATCTATCTATCTATCTATCTATCTATCTATCTAGTCCTGGGTATGACGATAAACTACATTCGGCAACCAGGCCTCTGAGAGATTAGAGGTTTTGAGGAGGATGGAACCAATTATTAATTGTTGTTGGATTCTTATGTGACATCCGTCCTCTTATAAACCCTTGAATGCTGGGTAATCTCCCAAAAGATGGTTTTATGACGTACGGTGGCCGTTAATAATTAAGTATAACTTAAGACTTCAACAGTATTTAATTACAACCGCAAATAAATACTTAACTAGAACAAAGTCTGAATTTAAACCCAGATTAACATTTAAGATTTAAAATAATTTTGGAAATAAGAAATATAAATTCTAAATTAAAGGGACGCTGGCTTCGAAAACGTAAGTAAACAAACCTAACTATATTTACCCATTCATATATATATATATATATATATATATATATATATATATATATATATTCTACTCGCTCTATCTCTTTGTTTATCTATTTTTCCATGTCAATCTTACGCTAGTGTTTGTTGTGTGTATCTGTGATATGACATATCATAAGTGATTTCTTTTGTCATTAGGTCACCTATGAAAACTTTGTCAAAACATGTCTTGTCAAAACATATCATCTTTGTTTAATTTCCACTTTTCAACGTAATGCAAGTGTTTTGCAAGGACGGAAATTTTGCCTCCATATCTTTCCTAACTGTCGCCCTAACAAGAGTGGAAAAGAAATCGGAACCCTTTTTTTTGTAAGTAATTTATTCTCTTCGATTTTCAGTGTCTTCGAATATTCTTCTATTACTAACCGTTTGTAATTCCTTGATCCGTCTTTTACGGTTTATCAACCTTTCGCTTGTTATTTAAAACTAGAGAATATTTTTAGATTGCAATTATTTTTTGGAAATAATAATGACATATCGATACATGTCTTACTAATTAGCCCATAGCTGGGGGAGAAGTGGCGGATGCATACCTAATCAGAATTTGATAAGAACACAAGAAATTACAATGTGAATATAAAGTGGTGGATTAATTCTATATTATAATCAATATATAAACTGATACTTAATTTGTGTCCGGTAATTTATATATACATTTATATGACAGAAAATGTAAATAATTTTAAAGTCATGTCTTTGTAGCTAATCAGCATTAGATAGATAGAGCGATTCTTTTTTTACGGCTTATCAACCCTTTGCAGGTTATTTAAAGTCAGAAGATATTTTAGATTATAAAATGTTTGCGTAAGAGATAATAGTTTAATGATACAAGTCTTACTATTTAACCTGTAGCTTATGGGGAGAATTCGTGGATTTATAGCTTGCCCAAATGTATTTGCGATTAAGTAAATATAACGAAGTTGACACGTCTTTAACAATTCCGAGCCATTATCCATAACGCCACAACTACATCTAAGTTTACAGATACCTAGTATTTCAAAGTGGTCACCCATCTAATAACTAACAAGTTTCGATGTTGCTTAAACTCGCTGATTGTATGCGAACCTGTGTTTCAACGTGATACAACCGTAAAATCTATTACTTACCGAGTAGACTTGTAGAACGATCATACACATCGTATATAAGTTGATAAGGAACTTTTTTGTAAATTCATCATTATTTACTAATATCGTTTAAAACTTCTTCGTCTGACACGGAGTCTTTTACATAAATATTCCGGGTGTAACAGAAAAATTGTTCAAATCATGTTCTATCATATTTATCTATCCCCTTAAAATGTTTAATATCTACCCCACCCCGCAAAAAAACACTAATCAAATTGGGTTTCTGTTACCCGGTTTTTTTAGATAAGACTTTTAGCTATCGAGCCACCATTTGTCCTAAGAATCACTCAAAAACCCTTTGGTTATTCAGATAGAATGAGAATAGGTCAATATAGTTTTATGTCAGCTCCACTGTCTTCCCAAATGAGCAAGGTGAGAGGAAAAAGATCATTCAGTAATGGTACGAACATTCACACTCTGGCTTCCATCTTTAAAGTCCATTAAAAAAAAACATTAAGAGAACGGTGAATAATTTTTAAAAAGAGGGAACAGTAAATAGGAAGTCGCAACAGCAAGAGGCATCATCATTTCAATTTAAAGCTAAACAAATCAATTTGAAAAGATCTAACTCAATTCATAAGTCGTTTGGCACGTGAGAGAGGAGTTTCAGCTATGACAGTCCAAACAGCAGTGAAAAAAGTCTTAAAAATGAAAAAAAATGAAACGTGTGACGCACCTTGTTATTCCAGGACAGAAAGTTAGAAACGGCGGAGAACATCTTGAATATGTTAAAAAATTATCCTGGAATATATATATATATATATATATATATATATATATTCCAGGATAATTTTTTATATATATATATATACATGAATTTTTATTTCAATCCTTCATGAGCTTCCTATCCTTAGTTATGATTAATTAATTGTTAACATAATCATTATCTTTTATGATCGTTTTCATCACGATTCTTCTGTTAATCGTAGAGAGTTATTATACATTCTTACTACTCACAGTAGGTTCCAATGGTATTATAAAAACCTCAGAAAACTCCAGTAAGATATATTTAATCATTTCTAAGATACAGCGTTTCAAAGCTTAATTTAACAAATAGGGCAATTTTGATGTTACACCCAGTATAAAATATATATATATATATATATATATATATATATATATATATATGCGTATTTAGGCAACATATTTTCATTCAAACAGGTGTGATTAAATAATTTCGACATGGTATGTTCATTTCTGTTTTAATCCTCTGGAGTCCATTAATCACTTTCTTGGTTGACGTATAAAATTGATTAAGAAAAATACCAAAATAGTCTTTCAAATAATTTTTATTTTCCCAAATACTTTCAGTCTCATCTGAGACAATCTTTATACAGTTAAATTGTCTGTGTATGTGTATGCCTATTTCTATAAATTCAAAACATTTTATACGTTCGTTTTATTCCTTTTTTTATATCAATTACAAATTCGCGAGTTTTTTCACTGTAAGGGAGGCAACTTTTGTATTTCTTATTTTATATATATATATATATATATATATATATATATATATATATATATAATTTATACACAGACACACACATATATATATGTGTTTGGGTTTAAATTATATATATATATATATATATATATATATATATATATATATATAATAAGGCTCTAGATGGTTGCCTTATAAATGCTAAAAATCACTGTCTGATTTATTATTTACAGGAGTTAGAACACAAAGAGTTAGACTGGTTGTCGTATAAGACATCTGTCATCTATTATTTAGAGGGTTAGAATTCAGAACTTTACAGGGATTTTATCCCTTGCAAGTTAATCAACTTAGGAGAAGCTGAATATTTGAATTTTAACCCCTGTAAATAATGAATCAGACAGGGCTTTTTTATATTTTATAAGACAACTATAAGGCGTTTTATATTTTATAAGTCCTCTAGCACGATAGGTCTAATCAGTTTTCCTTGGAACAGACCTAGCAGTTGATAAAATATAATATTTCCACTTCATGCCAGCGAAAGATGTTAGCCCGAGATCGAGCAATGAAGTTATCAATGAGGTTAGCATCAGTCATACTGATGGAAGGTAAAATTATGTTAACAGTACATAGTCTTTTTTATATTCTGTGTATGTATCTGGGGAATAATTGTCCCCTCTGAAGGAACACGAGTATCCAAAATAATATAATTCGAATTTAGTAAACTGAAACATTATCTGTCATCATTAATTTAGTGCTGATGTTCGTTTATTCTGATTTAATTTAATTCAACGATCTTTTAGTGTTATTAGTGTAGAAATATAACGAACGGGACGTCATTAGGACTCGAACTCGCATCGATTATCTACAGATGTCTGTTTTTATAATGCATCTACTTACCAATGCAACAACGAAACTGAATCATATAGCTTTATTTTTCGCATTGCTCGCCTTATACGCCGCCATTTTTATAGTCACTAGTAGTATTAGTTCGTATATGTGAATTTTTATACGAAGTATTGCTTATTAAGTTTTGGCCCGTAATTATTTTATCTAATCAGAGAATTTATTTATATTTTACTAATAACAAAAAAAATAATTATGTTATAAAAATCATACGGGGTCAGATTAAGAAAGGACCAATTTTAAATTGTAAAGAATATAGCAAGACATAGCCCAAGAATAATATATGCAGAAGGAAGACAAGCTTTCGCTAAGTACTCCCAGTTATGGCCAACAACGAAGCGTGGTCCTACAGAGATAAACGAATACATGATTGCAGATGATCAACAAGTTGAGGAGGATTTCGTAACATTGGTCGAAGCGGTAACAATGAAAGAAGGATAATCTGAGTACAATACAAGACGATAAAGAGATCCCCAAAAGAAAAAAAAGGAAGGAAAATAAAACAAAAATCCCGAAAACGGAATATGTAGAAAAACACCAGACATACAATCGGTATAAAACTCCTACGTTTCCGGGAGATATTTGACTGCAAAAGAATGTCTGATTTATATATCAGAGCAAGAAGAATATAAAATATCTGTATGAGCTAGCATTAACAATGGCACTATTTTTTTTTTTTTTTTTTTACCTCAACAGGTTTGGTAAGTAGCGTGTTTAAAAATCCCAAAAAAACACTTAGCATTTTTCACTACATCACAAAAGTAACTAATATTCTTGGCTAGCTGTTTGAACCTTTTGCTTCATAAAATCTAGTCCGACGTCCTAACCACTTAGACTTGCCTTAACGGGACACAATTGATGGTGGTTCGTTAGAAAACGGAGAGGCGAGACAAATAGGACAAAGAACTGATCATTATCGCCCGTCGAAATTAAGGAGTGCTTAATTAAGGTAATTTGAGTTTAGACTTTTTAATTTTGTAGATTTCTGCTATTCGAAGACCAGTAATTACTGAACAGAAATGTAGAACTCTACTTTTTCTTTCTGGTTAGGCGGCATCTAAATTAAAGACAGTAATTAAAGGGCCACTAATAATCCTCCATAAATGGAAAAAGAAAAAAAATACTAATTTCACTTGGGAGGAGTTCTACTTCGCTATTATATAAATCCAAAACTGCTTTATTTACAGAATTCCAATAATAATAATAATAGTCATACTGATAATGATGTGATTGGGCGGGAACAGTTAGTTACTAGTAACTGCACCAATAACTTGGATATATTCATAATGATGTTCTAAGCCCGGCTTAGATGTGGCACAAGGCCGAAAGTATGGGGCACCCAGTGAGGATTGAACTCACTACTCAATCATAATTGATCTAGCAAGACAAGCTTTCTAACCATTACACCACGTCGAGGTGTGCATGATTTTCTAAGCGTAGCTTAGATGTGACACAAGGCCGAAAGTATGGGACACCCAGTGAGGATCTTGGATACATTTATATACATAAATAGTATGCGCTCAGTCAGAAAATTATCATTATGGATAATAAAATTCTGCTTGTTCCTCCATTGGTTAGTACGACCGTTACGCCCTGCTATACCTCACAAATAATGGAATATTCTATTATGATTGCGTGGAAAGACAGAAAAGACATATCAGTGACGCTAATTGGTTTCAGTGGGAAAAAATAAAGAAAGAAAGAAGGGAAGAAAGAAAAGCGATAGCATTCTCTTGTGTTTAATGTCTGTTTCAGTAAAATGGTAAAGTTGTCAATTCAAATCTTTTCATTTGTACCCCCTTACTTCTGAAAATAGCGACCAACATTCATATTAATGATTGTTATCGCAATATTTTGTTAAAGTTGTTAAGCTCAAATATTTAACGGTGTGATAAAGGGATTTCTACGGATATTTTATTTACGTAGAAATCGCCATAAGCTTATATAACCATTAACTTAAGAATTAAGATGAATCAGGAAATTCAAATAGGAAAGTCGTGAGATTTTCACGGCTATGTCTAGCGAATAATAAAAATCAATATACTTTAGGGTATTCAGAGCTACAGAATGTATAGACTAGTTATTTACTTTGTCTCCACACTAAGACGAATTGTGATGCAAGGTCTTTTTTTAAGGTGGGAATCCGAGCGCGTACACCCGGGCCAGGAACAAAAATTGCACGAGCCTCCGCCACCGTCGGTTGCACTGGCCTCAGTGCGAGCACCGATCCCTCTCTCTGGTGTAATGAGAGGGCGTGGCCTCGGGCAGCTGCTCCCCAGGGCTGGACACCTCTTAGTATCATTTTTCTCAGTTTCGACTCTGTCCTTTGATGATAAATCGATGTGTTATAAACCCCTCATGGGAATGATTTACACACTAATTTACAGACTACATAGACTATCCGAAACTGATAAACCCTACCGTACTGATGAGAACTCTGACAACGCGAACTGAGTGCGGATGATCAGAATACAGTCGTCCTTTTACCGATTTCGCCACAGAGGAGCGTTTCGGTTAGCAAGGTCGATTTTACTGTTTTTAAACTACAATTCTCCATGATTCTCTCTCGTACATTCATATCTGCTCAATGCGTATCCAAATGTAAACAAATGACGTCACACATTATGAAATGCACAAAGTTCGACAATTATTTTAAGACATTTTTTTATATTTATACGTTCTTTTTATAGATACAGATATTTAAGTAAATGCTTTGTTTATAATAAGCAGAATTAATAACATTTACCGACCTGAATGTCCGAGAAATCTTCATAGAAAATATGCGTCCTCCGACAGGAATCGAACCTGTATCCTATACGGAACCGTCATATAGCCTGACGTCCTTTTACCGATTTCACCACAGAGTAGCGTTTCAGTTAGCAAGGTCTATTTTACTGTTTTTAAACTACAATTCTCCCTGATATTCTCGCGTACATCCATATCTTCTCGATGCGTATCCAAATGTAATACTGTTATTATTAATACTGTTTATTATAAACAGCATTTACTTAAATATTTGTATCTATAAAAAGAACGTTTTGAGGAGCATGCAGTCATCTCTTAATTGCTGGTGTTCCCGATCCATGGTGGTATGGCCAAATAGTTAACCCCCAAACTGGGGTCAATACACTCTGTCAGCTACCTGCCACATGTGATACACGCTTAGGCGATCATGTATCATTCGATATATGAATGACGAGGCACATTTTTCCCGCTGTAGGTTGCCATTTCTTTCTGGGTTAGACCAGTTGCCATCCAACGCTATAGATTCCGGCCTGTCCTGCTATTTACTATACCTAGAGGAAAAAAAAGAGGATTCGTACCTTTCCCAATGGTATTAGCACGTAAGTAAATGTAACGGCTTCGACTGGAATTCGAACTCAGCTTTCCGACTCCTTCAATCCGAGCCGCTATCCATTACTCCACCGCAGCTCCTATTTGTACATTAAAATTTATTTTAATAAACAAGGATAAACATGGGATATTAAAATTAATTTTGATGGTGTCAGTCTCAGTCCATTCAATCAGTGTCTACCTTGATCTTGGTATTTCTGACAAGATATCATAACCAATTTTGATGGCGTCATTCAGTCTTAGTCTCATAGTTCCTCATCTGTTGAGATCTAAAATATTTCTTTTTCTACTGAAAACCTCCACAGCAGACGAAAACTCAGATTCCACTATCTATGTGGTAGGGAAAGAAATGATTCTTGCTTCTACAGATTGAAAAATATTTCGGTGAGAGTCCTTCGCAGTTATTATATTTTTTTAATTCTTCAAAATATGAATAATTTAGATACATTTTTGTGAAATGGCTACAACATTTTATTGCTACGAATTCTCTGTGGACCACTAGTAATGCTGTGTGGACCAACGCTGGTCCACCTAGACCACGTTGAGAAACACTGTCTCAGACGAAGGCCTGGGGTTCATCACTACAAGTTGGCTAAGGGCGCGCCTGGGCATCAGCCGAGGTATTACTACGTTTTGAATAATTGATTAATTGGTTCGTTGTCTACGACATCTCTGCCCTTTTGCAGGTTGAATAAAGCCAGAGAAATATTTTTTGGATTTTAAGAATTATTTTGGTGGGAGAAAATGGCTTAGTGATACAAGTCCTATGAAGAAAAGGCCGATTAATACCTTTCCGAACATTATTTGCGCTTACGTGGATATAACGAAACCAACGGAAATTGGAACTCAGCTCTCCGATTAACAATCCTAAACTATTATCTATTACACCACCCGCACATCCAGGCTCATATAGCACTACATAATACCTACGTAATTTCGACATTTTCAAATATAATGGGCAGGTGTGTAATTAAACAAAATATTGTATTTTTTAACTCTTCAAAGTATGAATAATTTAGATACATTTTTTTGAAATGGCTGCAATTTTTTATTGCTACGAATTCTCTGGGGACCACTAGAAATGCTATGTGGACCACTAGAAATGCTATGTGGACCACCTGCGATCCACCTGGAACACGTCGAGATTTATACGATGTGTTCTTCACCGTGGAGCAATGGTCTAATTCTCAGAACGTTTTGACAACACATGCTTTAAATTGTATTTCAGTTTATGTTTTCTTCAATGTGATCCTGATTTTTTTCTTCTCTTTTTTTATCTTTTTTTTTATCTTGTTTACGTTCTTATTTTTGTCATCATTCTTTTTGCTTTCCTTCCCCTCCCTCATTTTATCTCTTCGTCATAACACTCCCACTACTCTATCCCGTGCATTCACCTATCGAAAGCGATCAGCCCTCTTTTCCTCAATGTCACACCAACCAGTTTTTTTTTTTTATTATTTTTATCTAGGTAAAGTGCTTGCCTTATCTACTTGTGTCTATCTCGTTTTTCTCAAGTCCTGACACGCTTCTAAGTAAAGACAAACAAAAGGTATTCTCCCAATGTGTGTGTGCAAATCATTGGCGACCATTGGTAAAAGAGAAGTTTAAAGAAAGAGAAAAGAAAAGGCGTAGAGAAGAAGAAAGAAAAAAAGGAATCAACAAGAAATTGAATGATTTCCCAGGTGTATTCTTTCACAATATCGACATTTAAAATGAACGGTAGATTGACTTGGCATAGAACCGAGATGATTGTGTATGCGACTGCGCATAAGTGAAATCTCACGAGAAGAATTATTATCGGCTGTTTGGAACAAGAATAACGTTTAAATCGCTCGCCACCAAAGACAAAAAATAAGAAACTTCTCTTTTCACCAGAAGTCCTTTTTCTTTTCTTTTTTTTTTTTACAAATATCTGATGCTTTACTAAAGAAATTATATTATAAACAAAAGACACAATAGAGAAGTAATAATTACGCGATAAAATAATGTAACAAAAAAAGACTGTTAAGTCACAATGATACTGATCGATCTGATAATCGCCATTGCATGAAACTGCAGAAGTTGGTATTATACACACACATATATATATATATATATATATATATATATATATATATATATATATATTGCATGATACAGTGTCGCCTCTAAGTGTTGACATCGATGTTCCCTATATATATATATATATATATATATATATATATATATATATATATATATAGTGAACATCGATGCCAACACTTAGAGGCGACGCACCTAACACTCTAAGTATTGACATCGATATTCACTTATATATATATATATATATGATAAGTAGTCCACCACTGGCGTATATTTTTATTTTGTTGATGTTATAAAGATGACCATTTCATTTCTAACTTCTGTTTTTTTATTCAGTAACATTGTCTAGGTTACAACACTATATATATATATATATATATATATATATATATATATATGAATATATATATATATATATAAGTGAACATTAAAGTCAACACTCACAGGCGACAAGCTGTTTCATATTAGACGCGTCATCAATGTTCACTTATATATATATATATTTACATATGCTCTATCTCTGATACTGAGCACATTATCCCGTAAATATAGCACATCTTAAAACTATATTTCTTCATATATATACGTATGTTGAAACTTGACTAATGCATGGAATAATAATGCAACACAAAATGTACTTAGAACATAATTTATTGAAACAAGAAAGTGTACACAATATTTACATATAGTCTTTTGTATATTCTTGGGAAGACCGTTCCTGGAGAATGTGTTACTGAGTCGCAGTCGGGCAGTGTATATATGTATATATGGGCTCTCACATCATATTAGGGTCCAACAACTCATTTCTTAGAACCGAAGGGCCAGGCGACCCGCGCACATGAATTGACTGTAGCATAACTAAAAAACGAAGTATTTGCGGTCATATGTTTGTATGGACTTTTGTCCTTGTCTAGTGTGAGGAACGCGAACACAAAGGCGGTGAAAGCATTTTTCACACACACACACACACATATATATATATATATATATATATACATATATATATATATATATTATTTGGTATGTGCTGTACTCACTGGAAAGCGCTCAATATCAGTCTTTTCTCTTTTTTTTCGTAAAAATAGGCTGTATTTTGATTTGAAATCTGAATGATTTGTTCCCTCGCCAGTAATTTACATTCGCCTGATGAGTTGCGTTGATATCCATCGAGACACGAAAGCAAATGTGTTGCGTTTTTAACAGGTTTTTCGATGTAATATCTTAACATAAAGTATATATATATATATATATATATATATATATATATATATATATATATATATATATATATATATATATTATATCTAATTGAAACATAGTTACCTTAAACGGGAATTAACGCCTACGTACCTAGAGATCGAAAAAACATTACGAAAAACATCTCTCTCTCTCTCTCTCTCTCTCTCTCTCTCTCTCTCTCTTAGTACGTGTTTCGATTTCTAGGCTGGTAGACATTAATTTCACTGTTTATAAAACATGCGAGTTTGTCTAATTAAACACATTTATCCATTAAATATAATGTTTATCACAAAATCACGGCTTAAAAAATCTATTGTTTATATATATATATATATATATATATATATATGAATATGTAATATACAGTATAATATATGAAATAATATATTGTAAATATATATATAAATTATTTCAAACATTACTTTTAGGATATATATTATATCAAATATTACTTTTAGGATATATATATATATATATATATATATATATATATATATATATATATATATATATATATATATCAATGCATATATGCTTCATACTTGTATTAGAAAACATTTTTAATAAATTATTTACGAACTATACAGAGTATATAGTATCTTATTGTCTACCTTGCATTCTTCTAATAGCAGAGATTAATTCCATCACTATCTTCTCTGTAGTGAAAATGTCTTACCTACAACTTTTTATTAATGTATTCCGGTTTTACAAATATACGGATGAAAAAAATTCTTTCTTTGTATTTGTTTTTAATTTATCTTTGTACAGAATGCAGTCAAGATTCCGGTCGCCCTCAAAGTTGAATGCATTTTGAAGGAAGTTGTGAGAAAAATGAAAAAAAAAACATGGCTGCCGTTTGAAAAACCTAAGCAATGGAGACGCGAGACGACACCAAGGGAGATGACTTTTGACTGGAAGAGAAAAGATTGAGAATAATACTTGCCAATAACTCCTTGTCACTTACTCGTCCAGTCTGTCTCTGGAGTACTGGACGGAGAACTGATAAGGGCTTTTCAGGCATACGAACAGCAAATGACAACTGGGACCATCTTAACCATAGGATTGATATCAAGCGGTGGGACACTTGAAGGTTGTCAACTTTTCTTTCTTTCATTGTAAAGCACATTTTTCTTTGTTGCCTTTTGTGTTATTTGTAGTTATTTTGTTGTTAGCTGGGAGAGAGAAGTGTGCTTAGAGTGGCCAAGTGTTTTATCTCTTATTTTCAACGATTGCTATACGTGACGTTTGCTATTGGCTTATGCTTAGAAAGTTAAATCTCAAGATCAATTAATGTGGGTACTGCTAGTAAGATTATGTTACGCCAATCTTAGAGTCGAGTTGGAACAGCTTGTATATCAGGCTTCTCGTTTAAGAATGGTACCATTGAGAGACATATCTACCAAATCAATATTCTATTAACAAATAACACAGACGCACAAACACACACACATGCGCGCATGCACACACACGTACACATATATATTCAGTTGTATGGATATTACTTTGTAACCCTTGGTTTCACGATTTTGCGATTGTCTGATCACAAAAGCGTGAAATGCATGATTACAGACTAACATCCAACTGAATATGTTATCTCTATCACAGATATTGAGCATTTTCCACTAAGTATATATATATATATATATATATATATATATATATATATATATATATATATATATATATATATATATATATATATAGCATCATCATTGAAACATGTTTCATTGAATACTATAGACCCGGATAAGCAATGTGGTTGGTTTCTGATCTGGCATCTCGTCTACAGTCGCTTTCTCACAGACGTGCCGTCGCCTCCCTCTGTCTTTTCTACAAATACCTTTATGGTAACTGCTCCTGCAAGCTACTTTTGCTAGTTCCCAGACTGCATGAATTTAAGCGTGCTACTAGACTGGCATCACAGTTCCACTCTTTCGCTGTCGAAACGGTTACATGTGGCCGTCTCTTCTACTCCAATAGCTTCATGTATCGCACCTCCCATCTGTGAAGTTCCCTTCCTATTATTTGTTTCCCTGATAGCTATAATCTCCAGCTATTCAAATGTAATGTCAATCGACTTCTCCAGTTGCCCTAACCTATTCCCTGTCCTTCTCTTCATCCTATCCTCTATCACGCCTCTTTACTCTCGCTCCCATTCTGTAACCCCTTGTTTACTAGTAGTAACCTACCTTGCTTAGGGTGAAATGCTTAAAAAATATTGTGTATATTTATATGTATACTACACCATGAAAATAATATTGAAGTGCATATGACAAACATTTAAGGACATTCTGCATTTCAACCGATTTCCGGTCAGCTCCTTTTTATTGGAACGCTTGTTTTGTAAAACATTCCATAGCTACAACGGATACATTTAAAATGTTTAAATAATTACAGAGCGTGTTCGCGCGTGTTTTTAAAAATCACCATGACAACGGAATGCAGATTTTATTGCAATAACAATAAGTTTGTTTTTGTTAATTAACCTTTGAAGATGATCGTGAAAAAAGATCGAAAGTACTTGGGTTAACAAAAACTACGGCGCCTCCCTTGATGAATTTCATCTTAACATCAAGAAACAGATTAGAGAACTGAAACTAATCTGTATAAAAATAGACACACTAAATCTATATTATTCAATGAAATATATATATGCACACACACACACACACACACACACACACACATATATATATATATATATATATATATATATATATATATATATATATAATGAATAAAACGTAATATCCAACATCGATAGAGTTTCATGCAGTTGCGGCAAGCTTCAGGTGCAAATACAATCTAGTTTTTTTACAATGTTTATTGTTTGAAACTTGACTAATGCATGGAATAATAATGCAACACAAAATGTACTTAGAACAAAATGTATTGAAACAAGAAAGGGTACACAATATTTACATATAGTCTTTTGTATATTCCTGGTAAGACCGTTCCTGGAGAATGGGTTGACTTTAGTCGCAGTCGGGCAGAGTCTCTGGATTGGATCTCTTCTTCCTTCCCCGTCTTCCCGGTACCAACCATATTTATATGGTCGGTACTCCACTATGCAAATTAGGTGGTTCCTACCACAACATTTATATATTTGGCTGAGTGGTTCGAGGGTTCAAATCTGTCCAAGGTGAATTTTTCAGATAAGTGACTGAAAACAGGAAGAGGGAACCTTAAATAATTTCGATGGAATGTACTGGCACCAAGTTAGCAGTCATCGTTATCGAGGTTTGGAGTGAACTGGTGTTGTGTATCTTAGGCGCCCTTTCTCTAAGAAATCCGTTCAACATAATTAAAGTTTGAACCCCAGAGCCTTTGTGGATGTTGAACAAACAAAATTGTTCCTTAGAAGGTGGCTGCGACAGGGATTGTTTAGTCCCCGCTCAAAAAAAGTTTGCTCTGAAAACAAGAATAATCTGGCATTATATATATATATATATATATATATATATATATATATATATAGTAAATGTAAAAAAAAATTCTTTGGCATATAATCCAAGTGGATCCTAGTAATATAAAATATTAAAACTCATAATACAATATATAATTAATAATCAAATAAATCCAAAAATTTCTTCATATGGTGAATAGCCTATTTCGGTAGACGATGATATTAGTCTTCTGCCTTATCTACCCCAGTCCACACAGACAGAAGTCCAATATCATCGTCTGCCGAAATAGGCTATTCCCCACATGAGGGGGAATGCAGATATCTGGTGCTCATAGGATGGCACAAGGTCTAAAAATTCCCTCTTTAGTTCTGAATTCATAGTTTTCCTTCTATTACTGGTTGCTAACGAAGGCCAAAAGGTCTACACAATCCCTCCCAGCATCCATAGCTTGTGGGCGGATGGTTTCATAACATACCCAAACTATGGGTAAAATAGTAGAACATACTGAGATCTTTAAAAATTGTTTAACCTTTCTCTAGTATATAAAATTGTAATAATTGCTTTTCCAGAACAATATAAACTCCAAAACAAAAAACAGTGCTAATCTTCAAATGCTGTGAAAAAAATCAAATTCATGCTACATTACCTACAACCACATAACAACAAAAAAGACTTTTTACACATAAACAAGTTGATATGTGTCTATATATATATATATACTAGTTTCTTTATATTTTCCAATCTGTCTGTTTATAACTTAAATTTTAACTACATATATTAAAACATCTAATCTTTCGAGATATGCCGATGACTGTTGCTATCACATCTTTCCTTTAGAAACATTTACTAAGAACCAACCACCTGTATACAGACAGAAGACGAGTCAAGAACGCGGCTCGAAAAGAATGGAAGAATTATCAGATAATCTGCGTTTAACTGATTGGGGGACGTGCTTGATTATTGTGGCCGGGTGGTTGGAAGTTGTGAGAATGTAAAATGATTTGTCCTTGGGTTTCCTCAATGGTTGATATGTAACTTTTCTAAGAAGGTTATCTGACATTTCTTCCAATAAAATCAGCTTCAAAGAAAGCCAAAAAAGATTATAAAACAGTCTTAAAAGTAGATTTTCGGCGTCACTCACACACACACACCAAATAGTGCAAAAAAATCTACAGGTAAAGAAACATCACCTGGTTTAACCAACTGTACAACAAAAATATAAAACAATAAAAAAAAAGATATTCATTAAACTCATACACAAAGACTTAATGCACTCTCTACAGTTGCACCGAAAACATGACGCAAATAGTAAAAAAGCACAACAGAAAAATAACAAACAAACCACTCTCACAAACCAAACCCACTGTAATTGCAGAGCAGTGAACTGTTGTCCATTAAATGGCAATTGCTTGTAAAACAATATTATATACCATGCCACTGTAAAATCAACAGATAGCGAAGAAAAATATATATAGGAATAAATGAAAGACCCAGAAAACAGAGAATTTATAAATAGTAAATACGCGAACAGCACAATGCTTTCTAAATATATAAAGTTGCTCTAGAGGAGAAAATAACTGTAATCATCTTCTCAGACCAATACATATTACTAAATAAACTATCGGATCTTATCTCAAAATGCAGACACGAAAATGAATTTTTACTACGTTACTTAAGAATCGAAAACTAAAAACGAACACATTGTAAAATACAACTATGCAAATATATGCCCTATGTATAACGTAGATAATATAACATATATTATACAAAGCCAACA